GATGCATGTAATTGGTATCGACATACCTCGGTGAGGAAATAGGATCGAGTGTGCTGATTGGCTTATGATAATGTTATGCATGCTGAGTTGAGAGAATATGCATAAGCGTGTAGTGTCTCGGCAATTTTATTACATTATGTTGAGAGATTTGAAAACAAGGTTTGCGATAATACTGCCTTCGGTCCGACAGGTGGCCTACTGAGCTAAGTGAATGCGACTTGACTTTTGCAGCAAGGGAAAATCAGTGATATCAGAACTTTAAAGGCGTTTAGCCAGGTCACATGACCTTTGGACGAGAAGTCAAAATATAATATTAAATCTACTCCGGTACTTGAAGCCAACAATTAGTGTTGTGTGTTCCATAAGTAAGATATAATCCGTTATTTCTTTATTGTAACTTTCATTAACGGTATTGATTAGAATATCTAATGTTTCTAGTTTTTACTATATTTAATTTTTAGAGATTTTTTTTTGCATTTTTAGCTTAAAATATACATATTTAGGACTAATCTAAATCTCCTAAGCTGACTGAACATCTGTTGTAGATCATCTTTTGACATCGTTTTATTATGGGTCGACTTTATTACCATCGTGCTATACTCATACTTCGCTGTCCCTTCAACTTTTTAAAAGTTGTACTTATTTCTGTCAAGAATTGGTTAGTATCAGTTTAAACATAACACATTTCTATTTATTGCTATAATCGCTAACACATAGATTTAAATTAGGCTTTAGTTCTTTCTGGCAACATATCTTCTTTTACCTCTCTTGGTTTATTTGTTCTCTCTCACAAACCCTGATCCCTTTTCTAATTCTGTTAACCACCTGTCTTTCATATCCCATTTACGTCGAATACACCTGTTTTTCTCATATCGGATTAAAACGTCTCATAATCATAGCGGTTCTAAATTCCAAATTCACTGAACATATAGAAAGGGGACCACTCCTTCCAATAATTTTCTAACAACCTAATGCTGTAATTCCTTAGGAACTGACCAAAATTCGGACGCTTTCTCACTTCTCTCAACCCTAACCGATTCTTACACCGAACTTCACAACAACATCATGAGATATTATTGAGTTTAACGCCGAAAATATCGTTAACAGCGATGGTACTCAACTGATGAAACAATGCGTTCTGATCTTTATAAGTAAGAATGTAAAAAAAGTATATTTAATTAGCTATACTCATTACTAGGTCGATTTTTAGTTTCGCTCTAAGTAGATAGCTTGCTCTGAGCAGAAATTATTGTTTAGATAGGTATGTACTTTAATAAAATTGTCTCTTTCAAAGATCTTGATATTCTTCCAATATCGCTCTACTGTTAGAATTTGCTTGTTTTTATTTCACAGGCAGAAAGTACCACAGTGATTTCGTACACTTGGCTACAGATCAGATGGTTGAAGGTTAGGGCCACTGAACACGCTTCACACTTTTAGCTATATACGGGTTATAAAAGTGACAGTCAATCCAGCTGTTCGAACAGGGATAGCTTTATGCAGTGGGTGCTAATGACTAGTTGCCCACTCTCTCTGGTTACAAGTTCTAAATTATGATTATCTATGTCTGAACCTTGAGGTTTCTGACCTGGCCGTTTAGTTTATCTATTGCATATGGTGCTATTCAGGTTTAAAATATTAAATACCTATATTTCCTGCTCAGTATGTTCACCTTGATAATTAATTGTAACTATAGCAACGTTCACCCTATGTCGCTGTAGTAACATGCTTGGTCACCTATGGGGCTTTGGCGTACAGTCCTTTACGTACTTCCTGAAAAGTACTTTAATAAGTACGTTACGATAGGACCAAATAACTATCGCTAAATAAAACAATAAAATCTATAATAATGAAAGAGCCTGTCTATCTGTCTGTGACCGCCATAGCTCCAAAAGGAAAAAAAACTTAGAGACCTGAAACTTTGCATGCATACCAAGTTGATTCTGAAGGTGTACACCTAGGTATTATTTTTTCAATTTGACTCAAAAAATGTTGGGTAATTTTTGGCCCTACAGTCCTTGAGACCCATAATTCTGCTTCCTGAAGGTCTATAGAAAATTATCGTAATTTTATCTAATTCTCACTGAACGAACAATATATGTAGGATTTCTGCCAAATACTGTTGAAAAAGAACAAAATGGACAGAAATACCTGCCAAAATTGGGAAAAAACGGAAATGACCAACAAAAACCAAAAATGAACAACATTCAATAGGGTATGGAGCCAAACATTTTTTAGCCAGTGAAACGCAACAAGGAGGGATGTAAAGGCATCAGGACCCCAGAATACCAGAAAAGGAAAATGACATAAAACAAAACAGTTAAAGAATACTGGCGTTTGTAAAAAAATCAGACATAAACAAAACTAAGAAATGTTTAATTGAACTAAGTTTGGGAAACGGCAACAAACAACAGGAAGAAAATATGAATCTGTGAATATTGGAGAGTTCAGAGAACGAAAATAATTCAAATAAAAACACAGGATGAAAAACAAACAAACCTGGAATGCTAAATTAAAACTATTTGCTTTTAAAGAGAGTTGAATTGAATTAAGTTCGAGAAATGGCAAAAGACAAATCAATTAAAGAATTGGCGCATTGGAGTAACTATATAAGTAATTAAGATAATGGAGATGCTTGACTAGTACATTGAGGCCTCTGTGAATCACAAGTAGACCTTAAAATCCCGCAGTGGAGTGTGGGTATTTTATGCTAATATCAGAATAAAAAGAAACATATGAACTTAACGTATCGCATCTTTAACATAATTAAATAGAACTACTACAAGCCATAACGTTAAGCTATAATTTGCATATCTTGAAAATATAATATTTTATGGAATATAACGTATTGATTCATTAGCTTTGAGGGTTTCAAAGAACAAAGGATGAGTTAAAAGTTAATTAAGAATTAAGATTAATGTGTCATCAATTGTTATTATGCGTTTTTATTATTCTGAGAGCAAGTGTTTACACATCGAAAACTCACTGAATGAATATATATATATAACAGTCAGTGTTTAACCCTAAATAAACTAAATACTGACATAAATGAAGAAAACATTACCTCTAAATATCATTTTTATTTTAACTTCTCTTGTTAGTTGTACCACTATCAGAGTATGTTCTAAGCAGTTGATGTACAATATATATATATATAAAGACGGCCAGGTGTATCCGATATTTTTAAACAGTCTTAATTAAGGAATTAAGTGATTTATTTTAAAGATTTAAAATGCAAAAATTTAATAAAAAGAAGGCTACTTTAGATTATGAAACTCAGAGAAAAGGAATGGGTTAGCCTGCAAATAATGGAAGAATGGGCAACAGCAAATGAAGAATGCTGAGGAGAAATCAAAAGGAATTTATCCTACTTCTCCCAAGCACCCTAGTGGGTACTTGCAACGCTAGAAACCACGTTTCGATACCCGTGGTGGGCAGAGCACATATAGCCTATTGTATAGCTTTGTGCTTAATTACAAACAAACAAACAATACTTCTCGCAAGATAGATAGCCATGGAACGTTGTGCTAAGTAGCTCCGAAGATATGAAAATATAAGTGAAATGTCTCCGTGACAAACATGTAACACATAATGAGAGACAGCTGGCCAAAAATATTTGTTGAGCAAGGAAACATGAAATTGTGAATCGGTGAGCTCGAAAATAAGAATAAAGAGGTATTTGAACGCAATTAATCAAATAACGTATTTTCACACCACTAATAATTCAGTAGCAAGTGGTTTACTAGTTTTCTAGAATAGCAAGAAGGTTATAGTAGATACAAGCATTATACGGAATACTTTTGGTCTGTTATAGTTTTAGGGGCCCCTATTTAGATATTCAGTTTCTTCCCTTTACTGCTTTACATGCCCGATGCCAAATACTCTATTGATAACTTACCATGGTAGTTTTAATTATGGTTTTTAAATGTGATAAGCCCATTATAAAGCTTCCCTAAACTGAATATAACTTGATAAACTACTCGTGTTGTTCCGATCCACGCAGTCACACGCTACTCATTTATTTTATATGTTCTGAATGATATATATATATATACATAATTGTGGCCCCTTAAAATAATGTACAGGTCCATTCCATTGAAGTGTGAAAATGGAACTAAGTTTTTGCAAAGAAGAGGTGTAGTGTCATACATGATAAAAGTGAAATTATGAATCCAATATCATCTTCAGTATGTAACTTAAGGTAAACTTCCACTATGCTATCGTTCAAAGAAGTAAAGAAACTATATCCGTTTTTGTAAATGTTCGTTATGGATTAGTTTTGCCATATGGATTCATTAACAATTTGTGTGATCGAAATGATACCAGGATTGAGTAACTCATGCATTAGTTAAAATATATTTTTAGTTTAACTGATAAGACAATTATTAATAAAATGCTCATTGTCTCGGGATGGAGAATATGGTGAAGATGCAATTAAGGGAGAAATAACTGGTTGAAATAGAAAGGGGTGGACGACCCCGAAACTCTAAAACGAACAAACTACAATAGATATATTACTTTCTGGTAAAACCTTGTTTTTATTTTCCTTTTCTGTTGCCAAGCTAAGAATTGAGCGATTAATCTATATACCTTCACAAGTTCGCTATCATTTCATAAAACTTATAGGTGATTTACTGTTGTTGAAAGCTTCAGTCTTCAGCAAGCGCTATGAACGTAACAGCACATACTATAAGTTGTAAGTTTTGAAATCATAACTCTTAAGAAATACTAATATCTAACAAAAGAAATGCTATAATTAATGATTGTACACACCATACGAAAACTCGATTTTTTTCCACAATATAGCTTTAATTTTTTTAAGAAACCAGAAAGTTATACAAATCTGAAAATCTAGCACATGCTAAATATGGTTTTGAAACCCAAATAAATATGTCATTTATCACTATTTGCTATTCTAATGTAATTTGGTTTATTGCAGTCTAATTTTAAGTGTTATTTATTCCTGATTTCTTTCAACCCCACCTTTTGTTTCTCAACAGGGTCAGCAAAAACTCCGCATACGAGGAAAAAGTGTCTATAATGGTCAAGTGTGGGTTTGCCCTTTGGACTTTCATTGCCGAAGTTTTGTTATTTGGAGTCCTTGGTCTATGCCTCTTCTGGATATTTTATTATGGCGGTGGTGTTACTTGGACCAATGACGTCACTAAACAATTTAATCTTCATTACGTCCTCATGATTGGGGGGTTTATATTCTTTAACGGTCAAGGTTAGTAATATAAAAAGAACATTTAACATACTTATTTTAAAAATTTTATGAAAAATGTAGATTGATGATGTGAATGAACTTAAATGGGTTTTTATTTTAGTAAGAAACGCGTTAAAAAATAACTGTAACATCTTTCACAGACAAAGGTTATCAATGTCGTGTATTTCGTCTTTAAATAACAAATTTTATTAAATAATTTTAGTCAACAAATTAAACTGATAAATAGTTGAAATATTCTTTTTTACCATTATGTAAAACAAAGAGCGCATTTAAGTGATATCAGTTGAATTTGTTCATTTAGTATAGTAGACAAATTACTGGAAATTATTTTTCATGTTATTTTGGTTATATTTAGTTATAGGAGTTTTTATATTTTCTGTTTGACAAGCTTAATTGATAATTAATTTGTTATGATAGTCAATATGCATTGTTGAATTTCCTTTAATTAATATAGAATCAAAATGTATCTTGTGTAAAAAAAAACGAAGATACATCTTACATTCAGACGTTGCTATGAAAATAAAAAATAACGATTTTTTTTTCTTGTAATTAAAAAAGTAATTATTTTTTTTGTTTTAATTATAAGTGATTTTTCATCGGCTGGGACAGCTGTTTTAGTGAAAATATAAAAACAAACCAATAGTTTTTCTTCCTTTATAAACTTTAAAACTTTTATTGGTACTCTTTGAAAGGAATACTTTCTTAAGTTATTATAATTCTAAAATTAAAATCAAATATTGATTTTCCGTTTTAATTCCAATATTTGCACCAAATGCTGGCCGTGACAGCAATCCTTGCATATAGATGTTTGTCTTGCTATAAGAAGATATACACCAAGGTAATCCACACATCATTTTTCGTTTTTGGCATGTCATCGATCACGGTCGGCTTGGTGTCAGCAATTCAAGGTCATAACGGCGCCCAAGATCCCAAGCACTTCTACAGTTTACATTCCTGGATCGGCCTTGCAACGATAGGAATGTTTGCTTTACAGGTACATTCAACTGCCATTTTATCGTAGAATGTTTTCCTCTGTGGTGAATGTATAATTTTACCTTCTGAAAATCCCTCCCCAGTGGCTTAGCGGTAAGTCTGAAGGTTTATAACGTTAAAACCCGGGTTTCGATACCCGTGACCATTGTGTAGCTTTGTGCTTAACAAACAACAACCTTCTGAATGTTGAAATTAGCGTCAACTTCATGACAATGTTTATTCAAGAATTGTGGCTTTAATCTAATTTGTAAGTTGGTTGACTCTACTAACACGAGTTTTATATGATCTTTATGCACTTATATAAGTAAAAAGTTAATTACAGGGTGCTTATCACTCTAATTTTAGGAACATAACTTACTGGTATATATTCAACGCATTCGCAGTTCCCTTTTGAGAATGGAAAAATCTACCATTTGAAAGCGCTCAGATTGTCGGTTGATTTTGAATCCTGTATTCATCTACCTTTACGATCCTGCGTTTTAAGTGTCATGAATGTACTACCATATAAAATATTTATCTTCCTACAAGTTAAGTTATCCCTTTATCATTACAAGAGGTTGCAGATTCACGATATTGCAGTAAAATGAGTTATGTAACAAATTAAATTCACTATTCATGCATGAATAATGCAATTTTCAGGTATATCGCCTTTTATGCGTTTAGCAAGGTCGTTGAAAAACAAAGTTATTCTAAAGAGGCTTTATCCAAATGAAGATATGGAAATTGTCTAGTGTAACTTTTATTTTAAAATCTCCATTTTCTAAATGAAGGGCATTAAAGTGGGCGTTAAAATAAAACTTACATCAACCAGTTTTTCCCCACCCGAAGTTGTGTACATTTTCTTTAGGTGTGACCTCCTTAAAATGCATGATATTCTCTGTCTCAATCTGCAAAGTTTAGATAATCCTAGATCAAGCTAACAAATTATCTAGTATTAACCAAGGTATTTCACAATTTAAAAGTAAACAGATGTGTACTATATTATAGCGATTCTGATAAGCCTCCTTCATGGTATCAAAAGATCATTTTTCGCCGCGGCATATCGGCTCATGGAATGGCTCTGAGTTTTGTTTTTGTTGTTTTTTTGAAGTACAAACTTTTAACTCGTAGCTCCACCATCTCTTAACTGATCTGAGATTTAATAACATTTTTTGAACGAAGGAGGTTAAACCCTTTCGACTGATGTATTTGACCATGCCCAAGGTCTCACAGGTAAATTTACTCTAATCCTGCCTAAAATAATTTCAGTTTGTAGAGGCTGGTAGAGATCCTGATGAGCAATAAAACTGAATCGTATATACGCGCATCTCACGCTTGATATTGCTAGTGCACAAAAATATAGCTAATAAAAAGGAGGGTGTTACAGATTAATGTACTCTAATCCTGCCTAAAAGAATTTCAAGTGCCGCGGCTATTGAGAATTCCCTCTTGTCTAATATTCTACAAGCTGCGCTTGGCGACGTATAGTTAGTCAGTTCACACATATAGGAAATGTTAATATTTCTGAAACCTTGTGGACAGAAAAGCAGAGTCAACAAAAACAACACCTTGCATGGTAACATGTTTCTTACTGTAGTTGTAGTTTCTTTTGTTCCTCATGGCCAGGTGGTTAGGGCGCTTGACTCGCAATCTGAGGGTCGCGAGTTCGAATCCCCGTCCCACCA